CCATGTTTGTAGTCTTTGTGCCTCTCAAAGCATTTTTAATGAAATAATAATAATGTCCTGCTGTGAGTTACAGACCATCCAAGATGTTTGTGACTGTCTAGAGTTTTATTGATCTGTTACTACTTAGCAATAATTAGCAGATATCCATGTTAGTGCATTGCTACGGGTCCAAAGCTAACCACAGTGACAGGTTAGACCTTTGGAAAGCAGAGAAGGGAGGAGCAGTGTCTCACGCAGCAACACAACAGCTCCAATGTGAGTGACTGAGCCTGATTAAGAGCTTGTGTGTGAGAAAAGTTGCCAAAAGGGAAGAAAACTGTTGTTAGTGACTCCGTGATTTATTGCGTCATAAATCTTTTTTAGTGCTGCGATAAACATCAAAGAGAATCTGCAACCTGAAGCTGGGCTTTTGCTTTGACTGTAAATCTTTAGTTTAGCTACCCAACAATTTCTCATGACTAAAGTATAATTAATTTTTTTATTTCTGGTGACTAAAATGGGGTTTTTTTTCACACCTAGTTTTAATGTTTCATTCAACAATAATGACCTTTGTGTGTACAGGTGTGTGCGTACCTGCAGCCTCCTCCACACATATGGAGACAGCTTTTTGACGGCGTACGCTGTGAGCAGGACGGCCGTCAATTTCCTGAGTCTGGAGCTCCGCCTGAGCTGAGCAGGCAGCTTCTCATAGGTCAGCTGCATGCTGACAGGTAGCCGACGAACGACCAATTGATGTCCAGAAATCGCAGCGTGTCACCTAAGGTCAAACCGAACCTGATCCCAGACGGGTCCACTGTGAACCGATGCGGGTTTGTCAAGGAAACGCCATGCTGACCTCAGAGCGTGAGCCACCACCTGCACAGACAGGATCAGGTTTTAGATTACACCTCAGTCCAGCTGTAACCGTTAGACAGTTCATGCACTCCATTACACTGCAGAGTAAGCAAACAGCTGCATGGGGCCCAACAAGGCCCTCCAAAAAAAAAACATGTGGCTGTGAATGAATGATAGGGTCGCACGGCTCTGTGTTCACAATCGTGTAGTGAAAAAAGTGGTCATCAATCAATTTTTATTATATTAAAAAAGCAAAGACATGTGCATTTATTTTTATTGTAATGACTGATCAACATTTCTTGCTTTGTCTGAGACTAAACCACTGCTCTGGTGGAGTCAGACCAACCAGTCTTAACTGGGAGAGCTCTTTGATTTCACCCATAAATAAAGACATTAGCAGTGCAATCTGGTGCATGACCCATTCAGCAGAATTCAGGAAATTAAGGACCTGACTCTCACAATTTCCTCCAGGACCCCCACATGAATGTGCTCCTTTCTATATTATCTACACCCGTGTGTGTCAGTGTGTAATGCAGGGGTGTCACGCATGCAGCCCAGCCTGCCAGAGGGTCTGATCCGACACCCTGGATGACTCTGCAAGGTGAGAAAGTTGCAGAAAAGTCTTCAATAATTTAATCTTCTTAATAAAGTAATCTGCTGTTCTATAAAAACATCAAATAAAATTGTTACTTAGACCTAAATAACTCCACCTGAGCTTTTAAAGAGCCACTTAAATCTGTGAAGCACATGTAATGTCAGCTCGAGACAAGCTGTTTCAACTGCTCTTCTGTTATGTCTTCTTATATACCTTAAAAGGATATCTATGTTAAACATCCCCAGCTACAAAACACATTTACGCTCTGTTAAAAACATAAAATTATTCTGATGCAGAAGGAATATCAGCCAGAGGACGACCCTGGAAAGACCTTTCATATGCTATAACCTGGTTGTCCAGCCACCTGTCCCACGTGGTCCTCTGACCCTTGAGCCCTGAAAGGTAACTCAAAGTACTTTTCCCATTTTTCTCCAGTGACTTATAAGCACACAGATAAAACATGTTATACACATTAAATTAGTGCATTTTCACTGCTGAATCTATGTTTCATCTCATGATAATAAAGCTTAAAATGAATTATAGAAAAATGAAATGTTGGCTGTAGACTGTCACACCTGCAGTGGATCTAAACCTGATTCATGTGCAGTTTAAACAGAGCTTACATGTTTTCAGTCCTGGAATTTTATTAAGTTATAAGGGCTCCAATGTGTTCTTGCTTGGGGGTCTCTAACTCTGAGAACAGCCATAATATGAAGGTAAAACTTTCCATTACTTCATTAGAAACGCTAAAGTTATTATATTAAAGAAATCAGCTGATTCTGGGGGATCACGTGGAGGTATTTTCAGCTTTTACTGGTTTGACACGGAATAACCCAAAGATTATTACGCAATGCTTTCATTGGCCCACGCTGAGCTGTATGTGACCATGAACTAAATCACACACCCCACACCCCCATGTAACCCGATTTGATTAGTGTAACTTTATACGTATTATAAGTGTTGTGAACAGACAGAAGGAATTTAGGTCTGTGATATATGTAATAATCGGACAAAATGTTGTTATATAAGGTCAGTAAACGTGCTGTGACATACTGCACACTGTTATATAACGTTAATAAACGTATAGAGATTATACAACATTAATAATAAGATCCTTGCTCTCTCTCTCTCTCTCGCTCATTTACTATCGACCAGGGGGACCGGCTCCACTTTAACGCCCCGCAGGTGTCCTGTCGGTGTTCCGGGTACTCTGGTAAACACTCACCCGGGTTCAGCAGCAGCAGTCGGTGACCTGTTGAACATCCACAGTCGGTGTGTCGGTGTACAGAGTCCAGCTCCGGTGTGTTAGCTCCGGTCCCCCTAGCTTCTAAGTCTCCCGTGAACACTGACCGTAACAAACGGCTAACGGCGCGCTGTCGCGCAAACTCGTTTATAACACTACTGCCGTTCGCAGAGTGTCCTGCCCTCCCGCCGAGCAGCTCTCGACCCGGACTCGAACTTTACTCCGGGCTGGGTGACCCGGCAGCGGACCCACGGTTGCTAACTGAAGCTAACTGCTAACAGGAACTTTGTTGTTTCTCTGATGTGGACATGAAAAGCGCACGAAGTTCCGGGTTAAATCGCTCCTCCTGCTTCACAGCCGCCCGGGACAGACGCGCGCACGACCCGCCGTCACTCCTCCACCAACTTCTTCTGCTACACTGAACCGGTGTGAGGACGGTCACACCGGCGGAGGCAGAGAAAAGTTCAGCATCTGTTTACCTGAGCAGCGGCCCGCGTCCGGATACCGACACAACGTGCCCTGAAGGGCGGGCCGCGTTCCGATACTGAGGACGTGACCTCCCTCTCCTCCTTCTGCTTTTATCCGAACAAAATATAAGTAGCTGCAGGGTGGTGGGGAGGGGGTGTGATATTTTAAAATTAAATGAAATAAAACCTCTGATGGTTGGAGGTTAAAGTGATACATTTCAAATAAAATTATTTAAAGTTTACAAAATTAACTTCTAAATTAACAATAAAAAACCTTGCAAAAATTGACAAATTTATGTAAAAAAAAAATACTACCAAATTTCAGACAAAAATATGGGAAATTTATAAACTAAAAGATGAAAAATAAGTTTTTGAGAAATAAATTTGCAAATGTACAATGAAAAGACGTAGCAATAATTGGAAATTTATGAGAAGAATAATGCCAAATGTCTGAGAAAGAACTGCAAATTTCTGGTGGAAAAAAATAAAATAAATAAATAAATGTATATACATATAAGGAATAAACGTTTTTCTTTTTAAAAAAATACAATTTGAGTCAGAAAGCCTAAATTCTCTAAATAACTTCCACTTGATAGAAAGAACATGAATTTATACCCAGTTTCACCAGGATCTTACATTTAGATCAAAATCTCTCAGGAGACCTGCTCAAAAGTAGCAGTCATACACTGAATCATAATGAAAACAATGCACATGCAAAATTATATTCAAATATAACAAAAACAGCAACCGCCACATCCACAATTCAGCAATACCTAAAAACATGTTTGTCATGGAGGTGTCTTCCATCCTTTGTATACAGTTTATAACATAGTGATTACAAATAGCAGCAATAATGAACTTGAGTGTTCATTTACAGGTAGCTCATAGTCTTCTGCTAATTCTTTAGTTGTATTAAACAGACCTTAGTTTGAGTTAAAAGGGTTTAAGATTTGTTCAAACAATGAACTCATTTGGTTTCTGCTTTGCATATTCTGTCACAATTACTTCCTACTGCTGGACCGCACACTAAACACATCAGCACTTTGTCAGGCAAACTTGTTCAGCTGGTTATTTATGCAAATATGTGATCAGACAATCACATGGCAGCAGCTGAATCTATTGAAGTAAGCAGATGTGGATAAGACGACCTGCTGAAGTTTGAACAGAGCATCAGAACAGGGAGGAAAGATGGCTGAAGTGACTTTGTACATGGCACAGAGCGCCTTTGGATCAGGTGACCCTGAATCCTCCCTTAGTTATGCTGCAATAGGCCGAGGCTGCTGATGCATTGAGTGTTTCTTCATTAATCACTGTGTTTTTACACCACTTTGCATTTAATTATTAGGTAGTATTAATCTCTGGTTCTCTTCCTCAGCATGTTTTTGTCTCGTCTTCCTCCACAAACCCCAACTGTTTGAACCAAATTGCTGCCCCGCCCTGAGCCTGGTTCTACTGGAGGTTTCTTCCTGTTAAAAGCAAGTTTTTCCTTCCCACTGTCGCCAAAGCGCTTGCTTATCGGGGACCATGTAATTGTTTGGGTTTTCTCTGTATTATAGTAGAGTCTACTTTACAATATAAAGTTCCTTGAGGCAGGTAAGACTGTGTCCTTAGACATTTTTTGAGTCCCTACATTGTCAGTATTATTTTACTGTGCGCGCAGTAAAGTTGTTTCAGACACACTGAACTACAGATGTCAGTGAATTTTCTTTTCTCAGATCATTGTTGGCATCGTGATGTTTGCACACTTGCATTTACTTGTGAGAAACGAGTAAAAACAGCCAGGAAACAAGAGGATCTAACACTTACTCCCCTGTGTGACTGCGCTGGAAAAAAAAAATCCAACAATAAAACACTGCAGATCTAAAGGAAGAGAAATCTTTATTTAAAAAGCACCTGCTGACAGCCTCAGGCTTTATTTACACCAAGCTTCATTTCCATCATGAAACATCAGAAAGAGTTCAGAGTGGAAAAAGTACAAACGACCAATAGAAAACCTTTTTTTAAACAGAGTTACTGTACAGCAGAAAAAACAGACTGTACACAGTGCACCTGAATGCATCGTAGCAGAGCCACAGTCCACACAGTGGTACTACAGCTGGTCCTGGACCTGAACTGGGACACAGAATGGCAGCAGGAGGCCCCAGAGCAAAGAGCTGTACTGGAGACTAGTACAACTTCAGCAGTACAGGAAACAGAGCTTTAACCTAAAAATCCAAGTACTTAACTCAGCTGGAGGAAATTTTCTCTCATACTGAGACACAGAAAGAAAGAAATGTTAAATCATCAAAATACTGTACAGGGTTTGGTTGAGAGAGGCTCCACTGAACCTGGACATCAGCACGTCTGCAGTCCTGGTCCCTGAATACTAGCACTGCACATTACCAGTACTACAGCAGGAGTACAGCACTGCACTCAAGCTAATACTGGTACTGGAGAGTACAGAATGTGACAAATATTCAGACTGGTACCACACCATTATATCCTGGTACTGCAGTATGTTTAGTGGCGCTGCAGTATTATGTACAGGTAGAGCAGTACGGCAGCTCGAACAGTCGTGAACACGCGTGCTGTATTTACATCGTATCTTCACATGTTTCTGCTTTGGTGTGAGCGTGGAGTGAGGAGAGGGGCATGCTGAGACTTTCTGAAGCCGGAGGGTCACATGACCAGACTTCCAGACAGAAAAATAAAACTATCCAACACCCTGCCTGGATCTCTGGAGGTCGGCGATGCTTACGCAAAATATGACTGAAACGTTTTGCAAACGTGCCTAAAAAATGCAAACAAATGGCCCTGATTTGGATTTGGCCATTACCCACTCCCAGGTCAATACAACATTCCCAGTCTCTTCCGAATCACCTGCTGCTGAATTCCTTAAATTCATTTGGTTTCCATTGAATGTTCTCCCTCAACAACGCTTGATAAAATATGATCCTTGGAGACTGGAGAGAATATGGGCAGGCCTGTTAGTTTTTAAAGAAAACCAGGCGTAGCTCATCCTCCTAACACTGTGGGCTCTTCCAGTAAAGACACTATTTGGACTATTCTTACACTGCTGGAAATAGATTTATTCTCGTGCTGAATGCACCCTACTGTTAGTTGGTCTATTCAGCCATACCCACAACCCATTATCGATGACTTTTCCTAAGCAGCTGGCAGGTTAAATACTCATTCATGTCTGATTCAACAGTATTAGAAAATAGCCTGAAGCTTCAGCTTCATAAGGCACCAAATCACTCTGGACTGTCTCAAAGATGGCTCTCCTACATGACACCAGACATCCAAGAGCTGGAGCAGATTAAAGACCACTTTATGTATTTGGGTAAGTCCTGGAACAGTTCTGGGCTACAGGTCATGTGTGAAAACTGGAGATCCAGCTCTTTCGATCCTCAAAATTAAAGTTGACGTTTGCTCTCTGAGCAAGTTTGAGATCCACACTGAAATCAACAGAAGAGCGCTGGAAACAGGATAGTGCTAAATGGGAGAAGTCTACATTAACTGGGACGACAGCCAAACTTAAATCAGATATGATTTTTGCTTTTGTGATAGAACACAAATCTGATGTTTTCACCTTTAAAATGTCTTAAAATCTTCTTCTAAAGTGAATCTGTGACCTGAGAAACTTTCTTTGATGTATCGTAACCTCTCAAGTCTCAGTCTGATCTACCGACTTGGTCTGAGTTTGTCGTCATATTGGGTCATGTGACCGCGGCTTCATTGTGGGGGAAGCTGGAGGTCAGGCCGGTTTCAGTGAAGCTGAATTTAAAAATACAAAGCTGGGACTGGGTCAGGCAAAGCTGCAGCTTATGAAGACAACCGCACGCTGAAAGACGATCAATAAATACAGACAGTAGGAACGTGTGGACACAGATCCTGATCAATAACTTATGGATTAATAACACTGACTTCACAGCGCTGAAAAAGCTGCATTTCATTCACGGGCATTTTTATAAAATCTTTTTTCTGGAGCAGAGTACCAAAAAAACAAAAGAAAAAAACTGAATAAATTCTAATTCATCGATTAAACAGTCACTACTGTGACGACTGTGACATTTCCTGATTGTCGCTGCAAATGCTTTTTTTTTTCCTGAAAGAGCGATAAAATTTGCAAAGGGAAACTTGGAACAGCTCCTCTTATTGCTTCAGTCGTCCTGGACTTGGAGTCCCGGTCAGCTCAGCAGGACAATGGCTTCACTGAGGGCTCCGAATGGGGCAGAAGGTCTGAGTGGTTCTTGCAGCTTTCCAGCTGCTGATGCTGTTTCTCCACATCTGGATCTCATTTAAACCACAAATACAGAAACCTCCAAAGCGATCCCTCTTAATCAATCGAGTGTCTGATCAAACAACTCCTGGTTCCCTTAGATGTGACTATTTTCGTCTTTCTGCGAGAATAAACTGTGTCGCAGCTGATGACTGTTTCATTATGGATTCATCTGCTGATCATAATCTGGATTCACTGTTTAAAAAAACATGAACAACAAAAACTGGGGAGGGGTTTCCAGTGCAGGAACTACGGGTAGCTGTGGGGTATTTTCCTTGAATTGGTGCCTCATTCAACAAAGAGCCTTTACACTTCCTGTTAATGCAAAACCCTCAATGAATGGGAGTCACCGGAGCCAAATCGCTTAAATATTTATTAACTCTTCTTCTGTAATTTTCACAAATGCAAACAACTTTCTCAGCTGTCACTCTGCTAATGTGTGCCAACTGGTCTGTTAAGACCTTATGAAAATCTAGAAGCAGCTGTTTGTGGTGCATGAAGGCGACTCATCTCAGGAGGCTGCCGAACACCTAATAACTAAAAAAAGATATTTTACCACAATCCAAAGTTTCAGCTCCATAGAAAAGAGTATTGGAAACAAATGAGAGAAGCCTTCACCAAAGGGGATGGCAGCCAAACTTAATTAGTGTCTTTTGCTTTTTATAGGAACAGTAGTTGAACATTTTGAGGGGATTCTTGTGATGTCTTGGTGTTCTACTGATGTCTAATGATAAACTGAAGACTTCCCCTTTAACATTTCTAAAAAGGATCCTCTAAACCGAATCAGTGACCTGTGGAAGAGCGCCATAGAGCCCCACTCATTGTGGGCCATCTCAAGCACATTCCCTAAAGGAGGCGTTTACCGACCATGTGCCTTTGTTTTGCCCTGAAAGGAGTCTTCCAGGTGTGGTTCTGACAAAATATGTGCTAGTCGTTCAAATTCTAGGTTCAGACTACAAGAGTTTAAGTTTCCTTTGTCACATTTGTAAATTACTCTCTGGGGTTAAACTGCCTGGAATGGGCAGCTCGGAGGCCACGATGCACCAGAATTCATGCATCGGCTAAAGCGTCGACTTTGCACTCGGGAATTAAATACTGGTTTATTTGTGATCTGACTGAGCTGGACATGGGCTGAAGTCATAGTAAAGCTGTGTGAGTTGCATGTGTGAAAATGGCTCTTTGATAAGAAACAGCTGCCAGGGGTTAAAATAAAAATAAACTTTCTGCGTTTGTAATTTCTCACTGCAAAGTGCTGCTAAATGTAAAAACTTTACCATAAAACCTCTCCGGTGTTCCTGCAGTGGAAACCAACAAACTATCCAAACCTTAAAATGATTAGAAGTGAATTACTAAAATGAAAAGTGTCAGATATTCACATTTCAAATCCTTCGACTCGGTTAAAAAGTCGAGTTTTCAGAAACCAAATGAACCTTTCAGCAGTTTGTATCGGCTTTTAAAGTGTCCCGTTTGCAAGCATCCTCGTTTCCAAGTATCTAAAGTTGTCAGATAAATTAACGCGTACAGAAAATATTTCCCTTTTCGGAGGAAAGGCTCGTGAGTACGTCAGCTTCTGTGAGTCCCTCTGCAGCAGTGAGGTGGGAAGCTCCGTTTACTTCAGAGGATTTATTCTGTTCACGTTTGGTTTCTACTCGAGGGCTTTGCAGCTGCTTAAAGCCACAAACAGCAGCAGCGACAGTTCAGCTGGTGTCAGTAAACTCGGTGCTCGAGTTTTAGTGCAGAGATGTTGAGTCCAAACCGGGAGAACGCTGGAGAACCTCACCGCGACGCTCCCTGCCTGGACTCACCTGAGGGATCGACAGGTCACCTGATCAAGTCACCAAAAAGTTCTTTTTGCGCTTTGCTGGTTGGCTGCAGGTAGCTGGTGATGTCATCTGTCTTCAGAGGAGGTACGTCCTCCTCGTTGGTGTTTTGAGAGTCTGATTGTCTAAGCACAGTCTGAAGGGTGTAGGAACAGAGCCACGGACACCTTGTTCAGTTTCTGCTTTAATCTAAAACCTTTCAGAAAATGGCTGCATCTCTGAAAGGACTCCAGAAGTCTTTGTTCTAGCTATCCCAGAAACAGGAACCTGTGAGAGACGCCGTATCTCCATCTTCAATCTGAACGCCTGAGAAATAACGACTTCCACAAAAGCAGAGAATCGTCTTCGGCTCGTCCATCTGCAGCTTTTAACAATAAATCTTAAAATGTATTTGGAAAAGACGCGTACAGCATGTGGCTGGTGTTTCAGCATCAGTCTGATGCCACCGTAGGAACCCGGACCTTCCTTTCTGAACAGTTACGGCTGCTTTTGGCCAATGATCATCGGGCTGAGTTAGTTTCTCTGAGAACTGCGACTCCATTGAGCGAAGAGAACCAAAGATTTGGCCACGACCATTTACGTCGCTTACATGTTAGAAACTAAAATCCCTCAGAGTGAAGTAGCCGTTAGGATAGTTTGAGAAATCTCAGGGCAGGTCGTGCATGTGAACATCTCTAATTAGTCCAGAAATGTAGCATCTTCCACAGCAGATGACACTTTTGGTGGCAGTAATCAGGGCGAAGCAGAACGAGACAGATTACTTTCTGAATCCAGACTTTAATGCCTGCAGGGGACAACTGTCAGAGGAAATCGCTCAATCTTCTTCTTTGCAACACAGATTGCTGCAGGAACTTTTTCCTGTCATTAGTTCCTAGTAGAACTGATGTTTCTGGAGAGTTTGGTGGAAAAGCAGCTGTTGACTTAAAGTCCATCCCTGATAGAAGAAGTTCACCGAGCAGAGCAGCAGTGACCCGAGCAGCGAGGAGCAGGTCCAAGGAGGGAGGAGGGTTGGACCTCCTCCCTCCTTGGACCTGGTCTGGGGTTTGGTTCATTTTTACAAACAGAAGCTCGACCCTGAGGGCAGACGAGGACGAGGCGGGCGGGGTTTTCCATCCTGTACGATCAGGAACTTCCATTCATCAGTACCAAGGTGTGTTTGATTCAGACACCTGGACACGCATTCCTTCATACTGCTCATCCCAGGAAGCCAGCCTGGAATTAGTCCCTTTGCCTGCCTCTCAGCATCGTGATTGGTTGCTGAGTCAGACCAGAGTCCCAGGAGACGGTTGGTCCATCGGCGGATCTCTGAGAGGGACTTCCTGTTTCTGAGCAGGAAACGAGTCGTGGTAGAGCGAGCCATCCACAGACCTGTAGGAAGGACAGAAATGGATATTTACCCACACAGCAGGAAAGTCTTCCTAAAAGTCGCCTCAAACTCATTGCGCTGCTTTTGTTTGACCTTTTAGGTACTTTAACATTTGTTCTCATTTTAAATATCACTCTTGCAGCTTCAAAACAAACATTACTGCTGAACAGAGGATAAGAGTTCTTCAGGGTTCGGACCGACCGCGGTGACCAGCAGGTTGGAGCGGATCTGTAACGAGGAGGCTTCAAGGCTCAAAGCTGAGGAGAAGCGCTCTCTGCTGAATACGTTTTGACTAATTTACACTGATTACCATCATCGAGCTTGAGGATAGTCATGTTGGAAGATCTAAGCAAGTTTTTGCTGCCGTGTCTGGAATAAAGAACCTGCTGTGATCAAAGACGAGTCGGACGCTCCGGCTTTCAAAGCAAAGACTAGAAGTGAAGAAAACCCGTGCTTCGAAAAAAGGATCCAGTAGATTTTAGCAGGTTTTTATGATTTTAATCTACTTTTAGTCCGGACACATTTGCGTCTTAAACTATGTAACAAACATCTGAGTATAAAGGGGGGCGTGGTCATCTGACCCATACCTGCCGTGCAGCGGGTGTCCGTGGAACGTGGCTGAATGCGGCAGCGTGTGTTTGTGATGCGGCGCAGCGTGATGATGATGATTCGTCTCCGTCTGATAGGCCGACTGCTGAATGACACCGTGTGTCGTCCGTCTCCGCTGCAGAGCCCCGCCTCCTCCCGCCTGACCTTTGACCCCTCCATTCATCTTACTGCCGTTGGTCCCTGCGGTCACCTTTCCATTGGCCTGGTTCTGGTGGGAGGAGCCTAAGGTGTTCCTTAGGTACCAGTCCCTCAGACCTGTCAATCACACATCAACAGCTCATCACAGTTTCTGCTCCATGGAAACTTCTCCCATCACCACACTCAGAGCAAGTTTCACTGAGCTGACTGTCTTTAATCGTCAGCCATCTCAGCAGGTTCAGTCCAACCTCTGAATCCCCTGCAGACTTTAGCTGTGTCTAGGTAGAAGATATGGTTTAAAGACTCTCAGTATAACCACAGTTGTTAATGACACCCACATCAAACCACAGTGGTCTGTTGCACTGTTACGTGTACTGAACCTTAGATTACACATTTAAAAAAAATAAATAGAGGAAGTCACTTAGCTAACCGATCACTCACTGGTTAGCTAAGCTTCATGAATGGGTTGAGGTTTCACTCTGATTCTTTTGATGGTTACAATCCGGGTGTTTTTAAACCACCTGTGTCATTATGTGTCACCACACGCTCGTGTGGTAACAACTTATCTGTCTGAATACACAAACCCCGTTTTATCTACTAACTCAATAAATGAACATCGGGTTGCATTAAACAAGAAGTGAAACTAGAAATGAGGTCACAGAAGGAGTGAGCGCCGTTTACCCTTCTATTTAAACTCTATGGTAGTGCGCCTGAGACTTGATAACAGACAATAAAGTTGACTTGATGCAGTGTAGACAAATTGAGTGATGAAACAAACAACAGGCGGTGACCTCCAGTTTACACTGAGGCAGTCTCCGGCCAAGTGGGAAAGAGTGGGAATAGAATTAGCACCTCCAACTCCGGGACTATGGAGTCCAGGATGAGTTGCTGCCCCAAGTGGAAGAGTTTAAATATCTTGGGATTTAAATAAGTGAAGGGAGAGTGGATCGTGAGACGGACAGAGGGATTGAGAGCCAGAGTAGAGCCCCTGCTCGGTGGCTCAGGATGAATAGGATGCCTTCTGGACACCTCCTAGGTGAGTCTTACCAGGAGGAGACCCTGGAGCAAACCCAGGACATGCTGCAGAATCACGTGAGGTCTAGAGAAGTCTTAGCTTCTCTGCTTAGATGATTGCCCAGAGATGCAAGCGTGGGTAAGCAATGAATGGATGAAGCAAACATATTTGTGTTATTCTGTCTGACTTCCACCAGGTGGCATCACCTCCTCACTGCAGTACACCAGTAGACAGTTTCTGCTGCACTGACCCAGTTTTATCTCCATCCCATGAAACATTCAACACGTTTGAGCTTCACAGCTTCACAGATCAGCAAACATCAGGAGGTAAGAGAGGCTGAGCTGTAAGCTAATGAGCCCAAAGCCTCCGTACAGGAAGTGCAGAGCAGCTAAAGGGTAACAATACTCACCTTCCAGGGCGAGGGCCTTGTGGAGGCTCCTGGTGGCCTCCTCCAGTTGGGAGTCCTGGTTGGGGGGCAGCTGAGGGGGTCGGGGCGGCAGCAGGTGGGGGTGGGGGTCGGGCTGAATGGCGACCAGAGGGGGATTGTGGGTATCAGTCTGGCTCTGCTGCACCGGGAGGAACGGACCGCACGATTTGGTTCGGGTTACCGTGACCCGCCGCTGGTCACCTTGGGGGCCGCGGTAGGTGGGCGGGGCTCCTGATGGCTGCTGGGAGTAGCCATTGTAGACTACCTGCTGCTGCGATGTGATTGGCTGTCTGTGGGGCTGAGAATGCTGTCTCTGCAGCTGCTGCTGTTTTCCCCAAACATAGTCCAGCAGGACATCGCTGTACCCCGCTCCTCTTCCTCCTCTGTCTCCCCTTCCTCCTCCCCTTCCTCGCCCTGCACCTCCCCCTTTTCCTCTCCCATCGCTGACTCCATTATTTGCCCTCGACCGTCCGTCTGTCAGCGTCTCCGAGTTCCAATACGCGCCGGCTGTGCTTGTTCCTCTGGACCCCGGCAGTCCGTTTACCCACAATCCCCCCTGCTGCACCCCAACATCATCCTCAGGAGGGGTGATGCGGTCCAGGAGGCCATCAGAGCTGTTACTACGGCGAGCTGCATTAGCCTTGAGTCCTACCTCCCCTCCTGCTCCAGGGTCAGACAGGCCAGAGGAAGAGGAGTCCTGAGAGCGAGGGGGAGGGGGAGGAGGTTGTGAGGGAGGCAGTGGGAGGGGCTTCTGGCTGTCCAGATGCTCAGTTCTGAAAGACAAAAGGAAATATTTTCAGTATACAGAGGGGAGGGGCTGTTCGTGCTTCCAAAACCAAACATGATGAGGTGACGCCGAACATGAAACCTCAAGAAATCTGTGAGCTCCGATCATGAGATCACAGACCGTGACACAAATGTGGACGTGCTCTGAGCTGTACCTGTGCACGGAGTTCCTCCTGGTTCTGTTCTGATAGAAAACCTCCACCGGAGACCCAGAAGAAACCAGCAGGGGGCGACACTGAGACACACCGTCATCTGCCAGATACATAGACAGAAATTTACTTGTGCTAGAAATATTAACTTTAATTGAAATCTATACCTCAGTTCAACTTATAAAAGCTGTCAATCACTTATATTTTCCTTATGATATTGTAAGTCAGGATAAAGACAGCTGTAACCATGGTAACCGTACACAATGAAGATTATGTCAGATATCACGATGTTTGTAAGACAAGCAGGTCTTATAATTTAAGGACATTTAATTTCGGAACAGTGTAGCAGGGAAAACATCACATTCATAAACACGCCCTTTAAAAAGATCGATAAACCTGCACATTATGAAATAGATAAAATAATTAACTGATTAACTGTCTAGTGTTTGCCTGATGTCTAGTATACAAAATGTCTTATGATAAAAATATAGAGAGAGAATAAAAACATGTGTTAAAAATAAAAAAAAAACGCTAAATAATCAAAACATCCTATGCCGAATCAGTCTGTTCGCCTATTCACTGCCAGCAGCCGTGCAGTTCTCCAAAACGAGACCAGAACTGCATTCAACTTTTACTGTTATTCCTCCTGTCAGCCAGCTGAGGGCGCTGCAGCTACACTACCAGTTTTACAGTGTGTTTGCTTGTACATCCATCTTTGCGAGGACCACTGAGAGCTTCAGAGTGAGAGCAGGTCCACAGCACAGACCTTCTGTTTCAGGATTACATCAGAATCGGGTTTATGTTCGGGCTCAGGAGTGTTGGAAAAACATTAAGTGATGGTCCTCGTACAGATAGAAGGGTGTGCGCGCGCGTGTGTTCATTACCATTGTCGTGTCCTGTTGAGTCTGATGTCGAGCTGCTCTCTGACCTCACTGTGTCGTCTGGAAACACACACACACAGAAACAGAGTAAGAATAAAAGCAGGAAGACGCTGGTTTCCTCATCTTCCTGAAACAATGGCTTCTCATCTACTGTCAGCTGTGAGTGTCTCCATATGTATGCATGTGTATCTATGTCACATCTATCGCACTGACTGCGCCTTCTGCGTCTTTAGTCCTTTGAAGACCCTCCAAAGAGGACGGCTTTCAGGAAACTGATTAATTTAGTTGTGAGGTCAGTGAGTGTGATGCAAACTCATATCTTTGACTAGAGCTGATTGCAGGGTTTTACTCACTGCGCGAACGTTACATAATGGACTCAAATGAAAACATGTGAGATGTGATAGTAATGATGAGATTACAAAAAGCAAAAACTGTATCCCCCTTCTCTCCTCACGTTGACCAGTCCCAGCCTCTGACCACTCGCATGTGAACAAACCTGCGCAGATAAGAAAGGCCTTCCATGTCCATGATGTGAAAGTTCTCCTCACCTAGGAAGGAATTAGTGTGTTTGGGCATGAGTGAGATGCGAAGGTAATGTCAGAAACCTGTGAAGTGCAGTTTCTGAATCCCTGGCAGGAGTATTCTGTAGACTTTTAAAAGTCAGTCAGAAACATTTACGTTGACTTGGGATTTTTAGCAACATTTTTTTAAACCTCTTGAACTCGTTGCAGAAATCTGAGGACCAGTTTTGGAGGTTGGTGAACCAGGCGATCTGACCAGAGCCTGGCAAACTGGATACATACCAGTCCTCGCATTATTTAGAAAATGGATGCATAAGTTGCAGAGTGTGAAGACTCGTTGCAGGGTTCTGGGGACTCGCTTTCTGATGTATGAGGACTTCTGAGGTAGCGGGACGAGTTAGAGCGGTAATAACACTACCTGCAGAGATCGGAGTACACACTGCACAGGTCTAGGAACTAGTTTAAGAGGTCTAATAACTTTCTAAAGAGATCAGTAAAGTACAAAGTAGTTTGTGCCTCCTATCTGTGAAAAGTGCTGCATAAATTAATACTATTTACTTCATAATGTCCTGAGACATCTGCGGGAGGTTATTTGATGCAAACCAAATTCAAGTTCATGGCCTGCTGTCACGAGATGCAGGACGTGTTGATGTTGTTGTTGATGTGCCGACAGAGTTTCCAGGGTGACCCGAGTGTATCACTGAGTGAGGTGACTACTCTGAAGAGGATAGTACCCAAACTTCAATCAGGCTTTCGGTTTCTAGAGATACATGTATGTACGTTTTTGATTAGGCCTTATAAACATGACATAGCAACTATACCTGAAAACCTCTCAACTGGAGGATGACAGTATTAATTTTATTTATACAGCACCAGAGCATAACAGCACTTGCCCTGTGAAGTCTTTGTTGTTTTTTGCAAGTGCTCCCCTATAGAAGAACGAGATGGGTCAGGTACCATCTGTATCATAAATGTGTGCCAGGTGAATATGGCAGCAGAAACCGGATACTGTGTGTGTGTGTGTCTGTACTTGTTTAGACATCTTTGTGAGGACATAAATTTGGCATGCTGCTATGCCCACCACTTTGAAGGGATTTTGAGGCTCAAAATGTGGTTTTAGTGTCAGGGTTACAGTTAGGTTATGTTTAGGATTAGGCTTTCATTTTTGATGGTTAGGGGTAGGGAGAGCGCCTAGGGAATGCATGTGTATTGAGTGTGTGTGTGTGTTACCTGTGTGGCAGCCTCTGTGGACAGTCCTCTTCCCGTGGTGTGTGTGTGTCTGCGTGTGTGCGTTGTGCTCAGAGTCGCTGTGTTTCCTCAGCGCTCCGCTGAATAAATTTTTCTTCGGCTTCGAACGCTGAGCGTCTTCCTCCTAAAGAAAAAACACACGCAAATACCTAAAGGTCACACCAACACATGCACGCACAGGGATATACAAACAGACTGCCTCAGCTTGAAACACACATGAAGGTCAAAACTGTTCCATCAACAACAAAACAACACACACAGAAACACACACAGAGGGGGACAGTAAAATTCTCCACCACTGTTGAAATTATTTAGAGTCAAATCACTCCTCAGCTCCTCACCTCTACTCGACACTTCCTGTTTCCCTGGCGGGACGTTCCACCTCTCCTACGAACACAGGGGGGCTTCTCCCCTGCCTCCAGGGGGAAATCACTGGGCACTGCACCCGTCAGCTCCTGACCCAGGAAAACACAGGAAAACCCAACTTACAGCTATCTGGCAGTTACTTTAGTCACTGTTAAAGTATAAACTAAGGTAGAGTCGGCTGAAGTAATCAGAGGTTGGGGACTGGATAGAGAAGACTAGTTAGAGACATAAAAAGAGCATCTGCAGAGGTTCAAGCACCAGATAAAAACATCTGAAGACCACGTGGAGAGGACTAGTTGCAGAGAGGGATAAAAGGATTAGTTGGAGAGTGAAGAAGACTAGTTAGCTGCAGAGCTAAGAAGACTTTGGTTTAGGTGGGAATGCACTGTCAGTGTCTTAGTCATATTGTCATCTCTTTTTATGACATCACTTACAGCTTCCTGCAGACAGATGCGTCTCAGCTCAGCCAATCGGCTGCTAAGCAGCGCCTGGAGACTCCGCCTCCTCTCCTGTAGCTCCACCATTCGCTCTCTCTGCTTCCTGTCTGGGCAGGTGAGAGGGTCTGCAACATGCAAGCAACACACACACGTAAGAGACAGCTAACAGACACACTCGAGAGTGTAGCATCACCACATGTCAGCGTTTATTCTCACCAGGTGCTGAGATGAGTTGACCTTTGACCTCCATGGCTTGTGTGTCCCATATGCCCTCTCCACCTCCTCCTTCCTCACTACTCGACTCCTGTTCACCTCCCCACACACTCTCTCTCACCTGCAACACGTTGTCATCACAAATAAAGGTTAGTACTGCAAGCTAGCACAGACTTCCTGCAGTCCTGATGACACTGACAAACCCTGCTGCTCGTGTGATGTCAGCGCCATGTTTTGACCAATTAGCCAATCAGAACCTTCGGGACTTTCTCACCTTGCGACTGGGTTCATAAGAGTTCCAGTAGTTCACTCCTGTGGCCATCCAACAGTCAGAACACAAACCACAGCACTGCTTCACTAACTAGGCGTCTCACTGCTCGGTTAGCTGTTAGCTGACGGTGAAGCTGCAGTTCCAAAATGGGCCTGAAGAGGGAGGCAAACAGTCTTCAGCGCTCCTGACCTAGGAGAACAAAAGCACAAGAAGAAAAAGGTGGTAGAGTGAGGACCAATCAGGAAGTCAATAAAAGATTATAAGCTAAAGTTCAAAACAACAGATTTTCTCTCAAAAAGTCACAAATACTATCAAAGTAAACATTTTAAAATGTAAAAACTACGTGCAGTTAGCTTGAACTTAGAACCTTAACAAATACATTTACACAAGAAATTACCAATAAAAAATAAAGGTAGAAAAAAAAAAAACCTTTCTAAGAAATACTTGGAGTGGCTCTGGCTGAGCAGGCGACCCTGCCTGGGTCTGATTCCATCCTGGACCATTTCCTGAGACACATTTCCTCTTGCCCTCTCTTTCTCTTTCCTGTCTACTCTCCTCTATATCTGTCCTGTCCAATAAAGACCAAAAGAAAGAAAGAAAGAAAATCACCAACTCTGGAGGACGAGGTCTCATTAGCAAACTACAGCACAAACAAATGTTTAAATAGTGAAACATGTAGGTGCACTTTCAGCTGCTCCTTTATTCACAGCGCTCGCCACGGCAGGTAGCTCTGCACGCTTGATTTGGCCAATTTATGTATACTCCATATGACTCTATATGTTTGCATCTGTGCATTAAGTGAGCTGTTACACTCAAGCAGCATCAAACCTTGCAGTTGTTTGGCCACATGTTGGTGGCTGCAAAAGCCAGTAGCTCACCATAGACTCTCATTAAAATGTGCAACTTCTCAGCATTAAAAAGCACGTTTATTGGCTGGTATGAAGAAAGGTTTGGTGTCTGTGGACAGCTGTACAGGGGGGATTTTTAATAACTGATCCACCTGCATACGGGTGAAGCAGATGTAGCAGCTCGGTGTCTGCAGGGTCTCACCTCAGCTAACTGCAGTCACTGAACTGGACCTCCCCAATGTTTTTGTGCTGCGTTTTTAATGGAGGATCAAATAACACTGCTTGCTCTGTGATACAAACGTCTTTATTAGCACCAATTAGCAGGTAGGTGTGCCAGTGTGTTGCACCCACAGGGACACTGTGGAGAATATCCTGACCTGGTTCTCACAAATCTGATGTTGTGGCTTATTTGTAGATGCTTCCAAGCCTTCAGCGGCCAACAGAGAAGCATCAATCTCGCCCACCTGATTCGACCCAAACACCAACAAAACGTTTGGATTCACATTTTAATTGCAGATTTGTTTTACATGCAAAGAAAGCTGACCGAGTGCAGGTAAAACCTTAAACCCATTTTCTGTTTGACTGCAAAATAAAGACAAAGTTCACACGTTACATAAATGCTTCATACAGTTTTATTCTTTAAAAGCTCAACGTGCCCTAAAGTAGCCAGTCTCTGCATTTTTACCAAGCAAACAGGAGAGGATGTTGCATTCATTAGAGAATGAGACAATCACATTTGGTGCTTTCGCGAGAGTTTTTACAAAGAAAACCTACAAATACTTTGAGTTCATGGTGATAATTAAGTATGTCAGCCACTAAGGATGACTCAGAGGCTTTAATAGTTTGGAAAAGGCAAAGCCTTGAAGATCCTCGGGTTTAAACGCACAATATGAGCAGAGATACGATTTAAATGGATCTGAAACAATGAAGTATTTTCTCGTGGAGCTTCGTGATTAAACGCGCAGGTTTGTGTGCTGGAGCTGCAGACAGAGAGAGCTGGCTCCAGATTTACTGGGTTTAAAGGAAAAATGTGGAGAGAACGGCGAGTACTGACATGCCTCAGACAAAAGACACACACAAAGGTTTATCTGTCAGTCTGTAGCCAAAACAGAGAAAGACCAAAACACACGAAGCCCATTTACAGTGACAGCATGGTCAGGCGACAGATGTTTGAAGCTCGTGTGACCTCTGCGTGTCTGTCTGGAGAAATATTATCTGGACCTTTGAAAATCCAAATTTTAAAAAAGAGAGAGTGAGAGCTTAAGTAGTATCCTGCCTTGTGATTGGCTGGGAGCAGGTGTTTGATCTCTTCCTGCTGGTTGGAGGAGTGAAACTGAGAAACATCTGCATCATCAGACAGCAGCAAAGTCACAGCGCGATGGAAACGGGCTCTGAGCTTTTGTAACATTTTTACATGTAAACTTTAACCGTCTCCAGCTGTTCCTCTGGTTTTAGTCAACATTCATCAACAGTTTTTTCTAATCCAACCACATGTGCAACACTGACTGATGACAGCGTCACTGCGTTTAAACCTAATTAGTTCAAAAGCCCACAGAGGATAAAAACACACCATGCAAGCCTCTTTGTAAGAATAAAGAGGTTTTACATTTTAAATGCTGTCAGTGGCAGACTGCACGTCCGGAGCTTGCAAACGTTTCCTCGAGGAACCTGAACAGCAAACCTAACAATATTTAGTAAAAAGCACAAATAGGTTCATGGATCTCTGAGAATCCACACTGCAGATGTCTTTCTGTAGTGTTTACAGGACTGCGTTGTGCACATACAGCCTCTCTCATGCAACATCTACCTCCCTGTTTGAGCATCTGTTATAACAAGGCAATCAAGACCAGAGCAAAAGGTAGTTTTTCTAGCTTTAGATCTGTTCAGATTTGATCATCTCCTGTCCGTTTGCCTCCTAACAGGGATTCAATACTACAGAAAATCTTATAAAACCACAGCACGACGTCACTTCCCATCCTGGAAATGTTCCAGCCCAACAGAGGAAAGCAGACACGAAGAAAACAACAAGTGTTACTTAATCACAAAACAACAAGGAGTCTGAAACCTCTGCGCACTTTTATCCTCCAACTGGAGGAGAACGAGATGTCCTCCGACAGCACAGCCCTGAGAACAGGAAGTGGAGCCCAACAGGAAACAGGAAGAAGGAAATGAGTGATGAAAAAAAAGGGGGAAATTGGGGGGGATGGGAAGGACTGACTGGGAACAGATGAAATGGTTGGTAACACTGGTGTGATTCACGCCACAGTATCCAGCAGCGGAGGATAAAATTCAAGTTTGTGTAGAAATGGCGAGGATCAGAGAGGCGGAGCTTATAGCATTATCACCGTCTTCTTCACACAGATGTTGAAACTGTGTAAGGAAGATTGCAGCAGATGGTTTGACATCCTGTTTCTTTGGAAAGCTTCCTGTAGAGCAAAGAGTCAGTGTAGGGAGGAGGTCAGGGTGGATGATGCAAGATGTTCATAAAACGTTAAACTGGCTTTTGTTGTGACCAGTAAAACACATCTACTGACCCAGCTGCCCAGGAGGACAATAAAACAAGAACTAATTTGCAGTAAAGCTTCATTTGTCGACCGTGTACGGACGCTGAAGTTATTTCAGTATTTTCAGACTGCTTCTTGGAGCCATTGGTGAGTCAGGCATGCAGGGACGAGTGCCAGGAGTCCACCAGGAGACGGAGGAGAAACAAAATTACAGCCTCTACTACTACAGAAAAAAAGAAAAATGTTCAATCTGACACTAAGATCATTGAAAAGGGAAAAAGAGCAGCTGTACGTGACATTTTCCTGCCCGAGCTGGCAGCTATTGTGAAAAAACGGGTGTGTGCACCAATTTTGGTACCTGTATCCACTTGTGAGCAATTTTCATGACATATGAAATCATCTGCTGCACGAACTACACCGATCTCACCGAAACCATGGAGTTCGAACACGGCTTTCACTGCTCGGGTATTTATTTGCATGACATTACAGAGGGGACTTTTATAAAAGCACAGATGCAGCACTGATCGACATCTGTGGGAAACACTGGATCTGGACTTTAACGTTAATCAAGGAGTTTTTCCCTCAAGGAAAAACAAATAAGTGTGGAGATGAGCCAGAGCTTACTGACGGGGTTTTCTGACACCAAATGCTCTGTCAAATGGTCTCCCCCTCCTCTCTGTCCTCCTCCACCCTCCTCCGCCTCTTACATTCCTGAGTCCTGCCGGGTCGAGTCCAGACCTGCAGCTCCTCCCTTCATCCATCAGCGGCTCGATTGATCGGCTTCAGCTCGTCCGTCTCCTCACGCCGCGATGCGCTGCTGTGATGAGGTGAAGTCTCCGAGACAGGTGGTTTGTGCTGCGAGGGCGACATGTGCTCTTTACCGTCGGCGTCCTTTGGTGTTTTGTTGCATCTCGTCACCGGAGGTTTGCTTGACATCTGTTTTTCTACTCTCACACACTCACAGCCTGGTCTTTGACCTTGTTGTCTGTGTGTGTGTTTTGGGGGAGGGTTGGGGTGTCACTCTCACCTCCCCTCCCCCCTCTCAGGTGTTGCAGGCCTGAACAGCTGATCTGATAACAGCCCGCTGAGGCCAATCTGTTTCCAGTCTGAGTGCCTGCCCTGATCTCTCTGAACCAGCACAGCCTCCATCATCACTGCGAGGAGCAAACGCTTTCAGAGCCTCGCCGCTCGCCCACGTCACAGTCCAGGGGTCGGATATACGAAGGATGCGTGCACACAGACGACACACAAACACGGCTTTTTGTGTTAAAAGTTCAGAAATCCAGAACAAGAACTACAGCTACATCCAATTTTCAGCACTGAAGACTAAAAACGATGCAGCTCTTCTTTTAAACCCTTACCTTCTTCTGTAAATGATTTAATAACTGTAATTAAACGGATTTAATTTGATAGATTCACACTTCGTCGTCTCTTTTGTTTCAGTCGTGGCGCTTTAACAGCTGCTGCCTCCATTTATTTTGTGCCTTCGGTAGTTTTTCATCCGCTTGTGGCATCAGATCTGAGATTACCCAAAACTCATTTTTCCTGAATGTCTCGCCTTTATATTGTGCTTCTTCTTTGCTGCTGACCTAACATGACATTCATTCACAGCTAAATGTGAAAACATGAATGATGCTCGTGAACATGCACAACACTCCAAAATGATTGGAATTCACAAAAAGAGGACCAAGCACACGTGAAGCTTTATAAGTCAAACAGAAAATGCACAGGTTTCTGCCTTTGTGCACTTTTAGTCATGAATCTCTACAGTTCAATGCGTCTGGGCCGAGAGGTCTGCACTGTGAGGACTGAACCTCAGGTTTAACCTGCGCCTTCA